CCACTGCCACTACCACTACCGTACCACTACCCCAGGACGACGACAAAGACCGAGACCACGACCACTAATTCCTTACCCTTGCAGCATAAGTCGCCTATACTGCTTCCGGTGTTGCTTTTGATGTCAGTCTGATGCAGTCTTGGCAAAACTTGCCTGCATTTCACGCTGGCATACTTGTAGGGGATGTTCTCCTCTCCTGGCATCGGGTGCTTCTCACTGTGCCTAACATCTATACGTTCGTTGGTTGCCGGCCCTGGTCGATTTGCTTGGCCGACTCTGGTCTTCGGCGACAATGCAGCATGCAGCTTGCTCTACACTATTGCCGGCAAATGCGTTGTTCACCCTGCTCGGGCTCAGCCGTGTGCCTATGCCAGGGGAGCCTTCCCTCATGGGCGCTTCGTCACCTGGGTCTTGGAACAGTGGTTCCCGACATGTTTCCACCAATGCAGTCCGCGTGCAGTCTGGGCACCCTGGCTGGTTCTCTTAAGAGTTTCACCCGAGGTATGGCTTACCACGGATGCTACATGTAGATCCATCTCACCATCAAGCTTCTTTCCGAGAACAAAGTGGGTCACATTTGCGAGGTGGGGTCCCCAGCCTCCAGGGTACTGTCCAGAATCCTGCGTCGGGATACGTGCAAGCATGACTAGTTGGGCTGCTCAACACACACAGTTATGAAAAGATGTGTAATATATAGATATAGATGGCATTGGGTTATTGCGATCGGGGGATTGCCTGTAGATCGTTACTGTCTTCCTTATACTTAAGCACCATATTCTCGCTGCGGAACCAGATAGAGCGTGTTCGAATGGATTCAACACGAATACGCCTCGGATCCTAGATTCAAGATTCTGAGTCAGACTTTCCCCCGCACCTTGAATTGTGGATCCCGGGTTGAATACGCTTCTATGAGGAGGGGTAGCATATGTATATGTGTGTGTATATATNNTATATATATACCTATTTATTTATCTATGCTTATTTATGTATATGTCCACACACACCCCTGCCTACCGAGACTATGTTCTACCTTCCTTCCTAGTTTGGATCTGAGCACCTCCATGCCGGATAGCACGACTACACGATGGGGGCTATCACTGCCCATGCTTCTGCGCACAACTGAACTAATGAAGCGAACTAAACTGTCGGAGTACAGCCAGCTCTCCATGAGGAAAATCTGTTGAACCACCCACCCCATCCCCGGCCTTCACTGACCTCCAGACGAGGTTCCGCACTTCGGCACCAGTCTTCTCATTCACGTCGAAGACGAGGTAGACAGGATCGTCCGCGTACCTCCACAGATTTTTGGGGAGGGCGAAGCCACGCCCGCGTCCGACTACAACTGGGCGTCAAGGAGTCTAGGAGAGCATTGCTTTGGAGCCACCATGTTGATCAGATCCTGAATGGCAGTCTGTTGCTTCGTAGAGATCTGCAGACATGACTCCGGCTACAGTGGCGACAAGCTATACGACGCCGCCTTGTCTCAAGACTGCAATTACCCAGCAATTTCGCTGCACGAAACAGAATTGAATGGGCAGTTACTCTACCTCAGGGGAAGAAAATGGAGAGAGAGAGAGATCCCTCGCCTCCGCAGCAGCTGCTTGACCGCATCGTCGTTTTCCGGATTTCCGTCTGGCACACGCTGTCCTCAGCCGAGGCATCCAGTGATTCTCAGGAAAGCTGGTGCCACAACCATTTCGCCTTGGAACCTTCGCAAGAAGTGGAACCCGCGACGATGGCTTTCCGAATGCACAGTGCATCGCAGTACACTGCATCAAGGCTTCTTTGAGGAGGCCTTCAACTACTTCGACTTGAAGGTGGACCTGCACTTACAAGGCCCCATGCCATGCCAGAATACCCTGCTACAAGAACTT